CTCTCAGGACTACTTGCAAGCTCTCCAGAAAGTGAGCACAACAGTGGGAGCACTAAAAATACTAGCAAGTGGGGGTGCAATGTGCCTGCTGGCTGGCACCTTGAAAAAGCCACCCTATCTTTTACTTGTTATCTCAAGAAGCTGCTTTGGTGAATGCTATCTTCAAACCTCTTGCCATTTGACATCCCGCAACATTTGATTTTTAATTATGATTAAAATATTTATGGAGAACTCAATATCATGTGGCGCAGTGGAGACCGAAAGGCACACGATTCCCCCTTCCCCATGATGAACACTATCTAAGTGTATGCTGGCTGTCATCTATGATTATATTGTGCAACGCAGCACTGTATATGAAACAAAAGAACCTCACGTGACCACGTCACAGCTTATTTGTAATTTAATCTATCCTCCTGTATTGACACTGATGGAAGTAGCGAGGGGAAAAAAAGTGCAATGCTCAAGATAAATTCGGCAATATTCCATCATTTGTAATTTGGTGCGCTGCAGGGTTAAACTTAATGTCTGGTTAAAGTAACATTACAACAAGGGCTTTTGATGCATGTTTATTGATGCTTTACTGAATCGGGAAGCTAAAACCATCTATATTTTCTATATTGATTCAATGATAAAACATCAATAGCAAATCATCTGTTTAAAGTGGTTTATGTGTTTATGTGAGCTTTTTCTAAATTCAACTTTCAAACAAAATATGATGACATGATGTGAGATTCTACAAAATGCAGATTGAGCAGACTAAAATGGGGACAGAGAAGAGAAAGAATTTAGAAGAACAGATTAAAAAGAAGGTGTGGGGAGGCGGAATGAAGAAAAGGAAAGAAAGGAAGTAGAGGGAATGTGTAAGGGTGGAGGGAGGGAGAAGTAGAGCATGGGGTGCTGAGGAGGGAGAGAGGGAGGAGGCAGCAGAGAGCAGTAGTCGATATAACGGCAGTCATTCATCTCCCTGACAGCCTTCCAAATGCTCCGCTGGGGGAGACACAACGCTGCGTCACCGCCAATGCAGCAAATGCACAGCACAAACACACACACATGTCTGCATGTATACACATAACAGTGGAGATGTACATTTATAAAGCTGGAGTCTGGTGTACTGACGCACAAAAAGCGAGTCAGTGGACACACCGTGGATAACCGTGCACGCTTAAATCTTAAATGTCTCTTTCCTTCTGTTCTACAATCGCTCTGGTGAGAAATGAACAGGGGAACAGGACATGAAGCATCTGCATGACACTGGAGTATGGGATACAGATGTGTGCCCCCATTAATACACAAGAAAAACACACGGATACACAATTTTTGCTCCCCAGTTCTGGTCACAGCTCATTGGCTGGTGCTTGCCATCCATCTCCCTCGATTCATGGCTAAGCGAGCTGCTGTAAAGCAGTTCTAAACCACTGGGCTGAGGAGAGCCTGTGTGTCATTAAGCCACAGCAGGCTGGACAGGGTGTTGGAGCTGCTGTGTTTCAGTTTGGTAGAATGAGAAGTGAAGAAGCAGGTACAGCTGTGCGAGGTGCCGCTGCTGATAGTACTTTAGCTAGAAATGTAATACAAACAGCTGAGTGCACCCATAGACCCCCTAATGAAGTGCACACAGTCAAGCGTTGCCTTTATTTAGTTGGACACCTTTGTCCTCATGCCCCCATAAAACATTTCAGCCTCATCTCTAATCATCCATGAAAAGAGGCTTAAGAAAAGAGACAGGGGATGCCAAGCAACACCCAAACCCTCCCCTGTCATTCCCTGTCAAACTGACCCCCAAGAAACGTGGTGGAGGCACACGTCCGTACACTAATGACTCCTAAATGATCCCCTCCCCTGTTAAAGTGCTGACAAACACTGACGAACCCTGACCCTGACAGGAGGAACACCCACATTTAGCCTTTTACCTCACCCCTTATTCAGAGGCTCATCTCTCAGCTGTCAGCCTCATTATGCTGAACAGTGTCCAGCAAGAAGCACGCAGCTCAAAACAAGCAGTAAGATAAACAGCCATGAAAAAATAATCTGAGTCATTTTCAGCGTCATGGGCAAAGTTTGAGCTAATTCCACACGCAGCAGAAGGGAGTGAAAATGGAGATAAACAAAGACAGAGAGAATGGATTTAACAGATGAGGAAAAACTGCAGAGCTTATGGAAAAGAAGGACATTGTTTGTGTCCTTTTGACTTTACCCTGATTGTGATTTCCACTTCTACTTGGGGTTGGGGGAGTTTGCAGAGGAGAATCTTTTTAACATTATACACAACGTAATTACAGAGAGCACCTCTGCCAGCCCGCCTCAGTTTCTCCTCAATACTCACACCCCAAATTAGGGGTTACCTTCTTCTACTTAAACCTACTATTTAAGGGGAAAACGTCATGGGTAGAGAGGATAAGAAAGGTAATACAGAGGAAAAACCTAGTTAGAGAACTTCACAATTACAGATCTTTATGTAAATATGGTTACTGGCAGCCCTTGCAGAGAGCCAGCTGTGGAAACTGGGACAAAAAGCAAAAGTCGAGCAAGACACACCACCAGACAGATTAGAAAGTAGGGTTATGTTCAAGAAACAGCATGTATGACAACTGAAAATCTGCAAAGGATATTTCCAAAAGTCAGCAAGCTAAAGAAAAACACTAACTCCATGCTAGTCCATGACCTCACTGGTTTGGACCGCAGCTCCCAGTCCCAGTCGTGGATGACAGAGCACTCACTCTGAGCTTTTCCGCAGCTTGGCCTCCTTTGTTTGGTATTCGTTTTTTCCACTCACTTCTCCATTTTTAAAGTGTCCTTGTTAGATTAATGACTATCCATTAGTGTCACAAAGTGAGCCGGACACATACAGAAAAGGGTCTGACCCTGCTTTGCTGTATTGTTCCATAAAGAGCAACGACAGGGAAATGACTTGATACTATGACGTGAAAAGGTTTTCTACGCATCTCTATTTCTGTTGACCAAAGAATGGGTTCTGCCTCTTGATGATCCACATGGATTTGCTTTTTTTTCTTGTTTCGCATTGCTCTTTTATTATTTACAGTTGTAGTTTAAACTGATAATATATATGGTTGCAAAAGGTTCTAATTACATATTCAACCAGGTAAACACACACACACACACTAAGTAAGTAATGTAAAAGCCATCTTTTTTTTCTTCTCTCAACCTGTTCGACCATCTGGCTACTTGACCTCCATGACTTGATCGACTGCTCTTTTATGATTCCACCATTTGTCCAGATGTCAGCAATTAACTTGATGAGTACAATCTCATTACAAACTGTAGGCATAACAACCTCAATGAAGTCATAAGCTGCATTTGCTTTTTAAATGTAGGTATTTTTTGTGGGGGGTGGGGGTGCAAAGACATATTAAAGACAAACAGCTCTTTACACTCACACACACACATACACAGTTTTGATATCATCTTCTTGTATTTCAATACTAACAATCAAAGGTTCGTGGAATCAAAACTTATATTCCATATCATTTCAAAGCTGGGTTAATAATCTTCATCCACATCATTTTCGTCCACACTCCCAAGAAAATGTAATTACTGCAGTGGACTACAATTAAAACTTCAATTCATAAATGACACAAAATCTAGAGTATCCCTCAGGACTGGAATGATCATCACTTCATCTGTTTAAGTGTTGTTCCTGTCTTTTCAGTGCTCAAATACTGTAGGCTACACACTGGAAATCCAGTCAGAAACAACATCCTGTCCTCGGGCCCCAAGGAGGTGACCTCAGCTTCAGAAAGGCCAGATAAAAAAAGTCCACATCAGAAAGGAAAACATCGGGCCGGCCGTAATGAGCGGCGCACCAGGCTCCAGTGTGTTCTGAGGGAGACCAGGTGGTGTGACACACATATGACTCTGATTAGGGGCCTTCAGATGAATGAGAGGAGAGGGAGAGGGAGTAGGGTGGGTTGTGTATAGCCAATCAAAATGTTTTGTGGATGATGCAAGCATTTGTGGCGTTCAATTGTCTGAACTTGGCCAGAGAATTGGTCAATTTGCTATTCAAATAGTGCAGTTGGCCTATTGTTTCTTTTAAAGACACGCTGTGTGAGAGGCATGTGCTCTTTGGAGCCGATACGCTGAAACTACACACGGTCTGCATTTTCCATCATGTGCAGAGGAGTACTTACAGGTGGATACACTTGTAGGCATATGTAAATAAACTCACACACATGTATACAAGTTTAAACATCTGAACAGATATTTGGTCTAGTGGCTGTTCCGGCTGAGTATCTGAGACCAGATGTTTAAAACCTTCTATCTGTACTTTCACATAGTTCTAAAACCTCATTAAATGATGGGGACTCTAAATCGCGCCTCTTCTGTGTCGGACTGAGACACGTCAGTGACATCTCTGGACTCATTCTTCAACAGTTATTTGACAGCACTGTTCAAATGTCCTCTGATTTCAGGGAACACAAACAAGCAGGACTGCCAGCCTGGTGGTGAGGATAAGGAACGAGATGGAAACAGAGGCTATTCTTCTACTCGTGACAGGGATTGTGTTTGAACAGGCACCTGTCATCCCGCAACAAAGACCACTGAGGTCAAACAGAGACAGAGAGGCAAAAAGGAGAGAAAAAGGCCGCCAACGGTATAAAAAAAATAAATTATAGTGTCCAACTGACTTGCTGATTCAGGACCCCGATATACAATCGCTATAATATCTCAGTTAACCATTTGCACTGAATATTAAGATGAACCACCTGCTAAAGCCATTGTGTTGCCTGTTTTTACAGCATAAATTCTCTCTCTCCATCACATTTTTGCAGCGGACAAAGAGCAGCAGTATCTGTATGTCCTTCAGACTCCTCCTTCACATGCCCTCTAAACAGACAGAGCAGAGGAATTCCTGGGCACAGCACAATTCCACACTGGCCACATGATAAGAGACTAAGAGGGGGAAAAAAGACTGTGCAACCTCAATTAATTTCCCCCTGCAGTCACAGTTGGCCCGCTCAACCTATCTGAAGACTGTTTCGTACCTCTCTGTCCTTTAACTTCATGGCTAGAACCAGCTGGTTTCGGTGGTTGGTCAACGCTTCACGGTAGTTCCCTTTAGAGAAGAATGCCGAGCCCAGATTTCCATGAGCACGGCATTCCCCAGTTTGGTCACCTGAGTAAAAGAAAAAAAAAAAAACATCAGATAACAAATAAAAAGCTGCAACATATGAAATCTACAATACAATCTGTAGTACTGAAATGTGAACCAACTGCTGTTTAAATCTAACTGTCCCTCTGCTGCTGCTGAACAGTGATGTGATGAACCATATCCATACCACTGACATGCTGCTGTACCCTTAAAAGGGAGACTGGCCGTTCCATACTTGTCTGCAGTGGAGCAGCTTTTCTAACAGCTGGTGGTGTTGATCTCAATGATCCCATGGGTGAGAGGGGAAGGCATTATTATTTCTGCCTGACAGAGAAGCCTCACAGACAGGGCCCAAGGAAAGCAAAAGTCTCTGTGCTCCACCTGAGAGCAGCTCCTTATCGTCAGCTGCTCGGCCCAGTCATGTGTCAAATGTGCGGGAGTTCAAAGAATGGAGCCTGTCTGTGCTTCTCTGGTTTCATTTTCCCTTTTTCAACTTTTATAAATGTTACTTTGTTACAAATGTTACATTAGTTTTTTCTTCCATCTTTCTGTTCAACAGTTACTCTTCTTCTTTAATGCTAAAAGAGAAATTTCATAAATTGAAAATGTGAAGACAATCTGTATTTTTGAGCCAAGATCAAGGTATATGTATGTCAATAAAGCCTTCATTTTCGGAGGGGAAATTGTTCAAGTGATAGAAGCACAAAGAGATTTAGGTTTGCAACCATAGTTTGTGAAACCCCCTACAGTGCTAATGCTATCAGGCTTGTTCAAAAGCTACATATGTATATATAACATGTAACATCATGTAGATATCAAACCATTTGACTTATCTCAAAATGTTTGGTTATAAATAAATAAATTGGAAATTAAATGAACACAAAAAAGTAGATTCATTCGATCGTATGTAAGTTCCAAAATTAGAAATGAACGAATTAAAAACACTTTTTTCGAACAATCCTGACTGCATTGTCATGTTTATGTCAGAACTTGTGACAAGCTTGTGACAAATAAGGCCTTGAGGAAGGAACTGCCATAAAAACTGATTTGACAAAAAGAAAAGAAAAACTAAACGTAATGGACCTTCAAAAGGATAGAAAATTATACCTGAAAACCACTGACCAACAAGAAATCAGTGGAAGTGGACAGCTGCTGTAGCAGTAATCAGATGGTACAAACAAGGCATACCATTACCAATCAGAGAGGAAATGTCTAGTCTCCTAAGAAATAATGTTTTTTTTGTACCATCCATCTTAAAAACAAAAACAAAACAGATGGATCATTCACACTTTGCAAGCAGGTCATAAATGGAATTCAATGTTTTTCATCAGTGTCAAGATCACTGGGTCATGTTAAACTCTCCTAATATAAAGGGGTATTGATTATTGCAAACACATGTTTGTTTTGGTGGGTTTCATCAAATTGTTCTGATTGCTCAGATTGTCTCAGTCTTGATGAAGAATAAATGCACTGTCCCTTTAATGCACCACTGGGGTGAGATTGTGATAATATTTGGTGATGTGAGAGCAATAAGTTTTGGAACTTGACTTTTACAGATGGCACACTGATAGCCTGTGAAAGCATCAAAATCCTGGCTGACAAGATGACTCAGTCTTTAGAGGCTTAGCAGTCAGGGAAATTCACAGCACACCCCAAAAATCTAAAAAGAGTTTCTAAAGCTAAAAGTTCAAAGACTGACTTTGCAGAATATGTTGCCTGACTTGAAACAATAGAAAACCTTAGGGGTACGTTGAAAGGAAATGTACAGCAACATGATATGGCCATCAAAAACCAACTGGGGGAAAAAAATGTCTCAAAAGATTGATAGAGCAGCATTTCAGAGATGAAACACTGGTGTTCTCCATGTTAATGAGGAATGATTCTGTGTTTGAAAAGGTCACCAGAAAAGAAATGTCAAGGCTTAAATTTTGATGCTGAAAGTTGGAATTTAGGTCCATTTTTGGTACAGTAAAGCTAAAGGTATTCTGTTTAACAAGACCATAATGAAATTACTTTAATGTTACAAAGTTCTTGATGAATTGATACGCAAGTAATAATGTAAAGAAGTGGACTCTTATGTTCAGTGACCCACTGTATTTCAGTCTGGACCCAAGGGATGACTGACATTATCATTATCAAATTCTTTGACTAACGGGTGTCTTAATATTGCTTTTTAATGATTTGATCCTCGCATAATCTACCAAAGACAACTATGATAGATTAATGTGTAAAACTGACAAGTTATAATACCTGAATATTTTTACTTATTAGTTGGACAGTTTAAAGGAAAACACAGAATATGGGAATTGAAGTATCCCAAATACAATTATATGTGGTAATATTCAATAGAAGAAGCATCAACAACTTCACATAAACCCTGCATCATTTCCTCCTCTTTCATTCAGCCGTCATACCTAATGTCTTGGCCACCTCCAAGTCCTGCTGCATGTATCCGGTGCTCTTTTCTGTGTTGCCCAGGGACCAGTGGGCGCTGCTGAGCGCAGAAAAGACCGAGCCGCGTAGCTTGAGGCTGCATGTGCCGATCTTCAAAGCAGCTTCGAGTACCACAACAGAGGCCGTGTGGTGGCCTGCTGTCAGCAGCTCCTGGCCAATCACAGACACCACCACAAACGGACTTTTGTCCAGCTTCATCTTTTGCAGCTGCTGATAGGTGGGCTCCAAAGAATCTGTTAAGGAAAAAACATTAGTTAGAGAGATGTGACACCAAACTTATGACACTGAATACTGTTAATGTGTTGGTGCCATCTGCATTTATACTCTACTTTCTTTCAGGAAATCTCGTGTTTTGACTGCCTCCCTAAACACGAAATGAAGCCTGAATGGGTGACAGCTTTCAGTGATAATTTAACAATTCAGTGTACTATTGAGCCTTTTTTTTATTCTTCTGGCTGGGGTAATTTAAGGCAATTTCCAGCAATGCCACAGAAACATGGAAAAGGTTTGACTAAGTTTGAAAAAGTATTTTGAGGTAGTACAAAAGACATTGCAGCATCTTTCTGCTTTCTTTCTGACGATAACTGAGAAAAACAACACGAGGGTTCGAAAAGTGATAAGGAAACTCATGCAACTCATGCACAGCAGTAGATGCAGCAAGGGAATGCAGAGCAGAAGAGACACACAAGGTGACCTCTGAAGAAGCTGAAAATGCACACCATGACATAAATCAATGGTGGGACACTTGGGATTGGGCATCCACAGCCTCTCAAGACTATAAAGCCCTCTGGCAGACACCAACATCGAACCTCAAGAAGAGGAACTAAAGGAGACTTGACTTAGTGTATGCATGCCTATGTGTCTATTGATTTATTGGTGTTCCTCTGAGTATATATTTGAATTAAAGTATAGGAGGATATCTTGGGGATAGTGAATCCACATGGGTTTGGGCTTGCAAATATTTTAAGAGCTGCTGCTAATTAGGTCAACGCATTAACAAAAGATTATCTGAAAGTGATGTGCCTGCACAAGCTGGTCTATGTGGCAACGCATATGGCTAACATTTCATCATATGGTCCGATGCTTAGGAGGCTGATAGGAATTTGTTCAGAGAAGCACGTGGACACAACATTTGAATGAACTGAGTACTTCTCAAGAACCCACACCTAGACACACACATGCACATAAGCTCCTTCACCGAACAAACACACAGAAGTATAACTGATGATGTTCTTTCAAGAGCATCTCTTCTGTTCCAGCACTTGGCAGAATGTCGTGCTTCTGGAGACAGTGCGTGCATATAATATCCATTCATAGCTTGTAATTGCCTTCAGAGTGACACTGGGAGCAGAGTCATAAATCAAACACACAATGCTTTTTTAAAAAGGTGTCATGGCTGCAGCATGCATAAACAGATAGCTATGACAACAGCGGAGTGTGTTGTTTCACACTCGTACACAATCATGCAAACAAATGGAACTAGCTTTCCCTTTTTGAGGCTTGAGTTAGATATAATGTGAGACTAAGGAGCCTCAACTTCACTGACGTGCACAGGCATTACAGAAAGTAATTTCACATTATTACTTCCTCTCCTTAATACATTTCTGAAATGTGTTTTCTATGTTGCATTTGAGGTGAGTGACACATCTTGCTGTAGTGGCAGCAACCAGAATGTTATTTTTTTCAACATTTTTCATAGAGGTGGTTCCCCACTGGTTTAAATCCTAATATTAGATTTACAGAAATGATGTAAAAATGTGCCACTGTAGCGCATTCTGCTTTTAAAAGTCAAATGCACTTTTTGTAAAGATGTGTCAGTACCACATCTGTCCAGATGTTGCAGTTCAAGATAATCTTTCATAGCAAATCATCCCAGCTTGGTCAATAGCTGCCACTGCATGAAACAACTGCTTGAAGAGAAAACTAATTTTTCACTTAACCCATGTGTAAAACAAACTATTCACAACTAACGTGTCTTCTAGACCCCCTGGTCCAAGCTCAATGAGCAACTGAATCATAGCCGGGATAGCAATTGTTAAAAACCTATTGCCAGGAAAACTGGAAGTTACAGATGCAGAAAGATAGAAGCAAATCAACGGGATTTATCTTAGACCTATTGAGTCCACCCTTTTGTGATAATGCTTTTTTGCAACTAATTGTGCATGGAATGAAAACAAAATACAGCATCACGGGAAGTAAGAAAGAAAATCATGTATTATTTAATGTTGTGAAAACACAAGTTAAATGAAGCACTTCAAAACATCAAGATACACTGTCAAACTATTGGGATCTCTATTATTTTTCTTCTTCTATGTCAATACATTTGTTCGATTATGTTGGCATAAATGTCTCTGACAAGACATTTTTAGCAAAGGGCCACAGAATAAACACAGTGCTTTGAGATGACTGCAGAAAGATAAATCTTTGAGATAATCCAGCACTGCAATCACAACTAGATACAACCACATAATAAGAACTTTGAGTTTATCTTTTACACTGAAGAGCATTTACAGAGCATATGTACATATGACCGCTGGGACAGGTTCTCAGCCCCCCATGACTATACTAGGACTTTGTGGTATAGCAAATGGATGGATGGATAAAAACCGTTTGTGTGTGGGTCACAGTGTGTAAGCACCTCGGAGATAACACTAATATATAACCGGATCCAATCGAAGCAACAAGTCTTACTTTTCATTAAAAGCAGATTCCCTTCATCAAAGTGTTACCGTACAATTTTTTTTTCATTTCTTAATTCCAGTTTGACGAAAGGTAATCAGCATAATGAATTCTGGCATGAGTGTGCCACCTAGAAAGAGAAAAGTAATGCTGGTCTACCTTTCACTCATCAGGGGACTTTGACTGAGTAATGCTGATTATACTCCTTGTCTGCTGGCGTAACATTGATTATCACCCCCATGTGCCAAGAGCCCCTCTGAGAGGATCATTGTTCTTAATCCTTTGACCTAGCTACCTCTCCTCAACACACCTAGGATTAGGTCCTCTGGTGGTTGCCTGGCACTATGGGAAATAGGGTAAACAATTAAGAGATTAAGTGGCTTGGAGTCAATGTTGGTCATCCCCTACAGAGAAGACCCATTCTGGTCCACAATGCACAGGTCTGGGCTCACACCCAAGACCATTTCTTGTTTTGGTTCCAATGGCAGGCTTAAAGGCTCATGGTGGCTCAGATGGGTCCTTCATTCTTTACCCACTGTGAAATATTTTTCCTTTGCGTCTGCATGCACATATTCAGCAAAGGCCGGTCTTAAATCTATTTCTAAAAAATCCTCACTGAAAAAAGCTCAACAGTCACAGCACAGATTTTTGTTTTTATACAACAAAAAAATATCACAATTATTAAAAGACACAGTTTTAGCACATCCTACAAGGTGATGATTATGCAAAACTGCTGGATGACTCAGTTTCTGCCATCCAGAAGAACCATAAATCTTTCGCATCGGTCATTAGAGGTACCATTTGGCTGTTGTGTAACTGTAAAAAATACTTTTTATAGACAATCTTAGATACGATCTTGGTTAAACACACACCTTTAAATCGACTCAGCTTCAGGAAAAAGGCTCACACAGGGGCAGACCTCCACAATAGCATTAGTGTTGGATGCTCATTAAGATAACCAGCTATCTGTGTGTGTGATCGGCCTGACTGACAATAAGATATGCTGAAGCTGCAAGCATTGTGCTTGAGAGTCCTAAGGTAAGTACTTGACACCAACAGTCAGTTACAAAGAAAGAAAGATGGACCGATATAACAGACCGCCTGCTGTAGAATGGGTTAAAAAAAAAAAAGAAAAACAACCTGACAGCTAAAGTCACCCCAACAGGCTTATTGACTGACAAGAGTCCGGATTAGCAGCGAGACAGGCTTTCAGGCTGCTGTTGGACAAAAGCATTGACCAACACGTGGAAACCTGCAGAAAGACACACGGAATGGCCCGCGTTTGACCAGAACGTTCTGTACCTCGTAATGGTGACTTCATGGCAGCTTCTATCATGCCAACAAGCAGCTGGAGGCTCTTCGGGTCTTGGGCCAGCCCGGAGGCAAAGGCGGCCAGTGCGTCGGCATGGCGACCAAGGTACTGAAGGGCAACACCCTGTCGGAAGTATGCCTGTGGAGAGACAGAGAGCAGACAGAGTAATCAGGGCCCTGGTCGTTTGCCTCAGCATGGGACTTTATTCAAACACATTACCAGAAACACTCATTTCACGCTATTTGCATTTTTTACACATGAGCAGTTCCCTGAACATGGCACCTCTCTGCTTTGTATTCCCATTATACAGTGATCACTGGTTTTTTGTACTTGTTAATTGGATTATAAGTTTTACATTAATAAACATGTAACACTGGATGGCTGGCTTCTCAGGAGCAACTGCTGTTTTTCGTCTGGATATCCATTTGCTGTGGGAATGAACTGCACCAGTACAACAATTTCAATACGGCTAAGAGTTGACAGAAAGAAAAGAAAAAAGACAGTTTTACTTATGTATGAACGCGATTTAAAGAAAAACAGCAAAATCCTTCTCAAACAGTGCAGTTCCCTTTGACAGGTCACAAGTGGTAAAACGCTGACTAAAACAGCCAGAGGGTCATAGTCTGTTGTCAGATCTGAGTGTTTTTTTTTGTTTGGAAAACATGACACGCTTTTAAAGCAAACAAAAAAAATGGTTTCAACTGAGTTATTTATTCACAAAGCTAAGAAATTCAAATTCTTGACTCATAATCCTGCACGATTGAGAAAAAAATGCAAGCGACTTGTAACATAATTTATTTTTCTGTGAAAGACTTAAATGTTTTGGAACAGACGCCGTCTCTGGAATCCAAACCCCAGCAATAAGTGTGTTTTTCCCCAAACATATCTAATTGGACTCAAACGAGAAAGAAAAACTATGTTTCATCCAGGCATGTGACACAGTATGTTTGTCTTTGAGGCCTGATCAGAGAATTATCCAAGCTAAGCCCGCAATGCCTGGTTCTAGTAACAGAAACTTTTAGAGAAGGAGTTACATTCTTTAGAACTCATTACTCATTATCCGAACCGCTAAATCATCTAAAGATAAAAGCAAACTGTCTCTTGTAATAGCCATATGGGGGCTTGCATCTCAGAAATGCACACTTAAAGCATGGGGAGAGCGAGGAGTAAGCTTTCTGTGAGGCAAAACTGTCATCTTTGGGGTTGGGCGTTTCATCTGTGTATGGGATAAGCAGGGAGGGGGCTGTTCAATTGACCATCTCCACAGTGAGTAGACAGTCATTCCACTCACAGCCTCCAAAAGTGACATGGAGGCTAATTTGCTATTAGCATCTAAGAGGCCTTTTCATTAGTCTTCCCAAGCCTCTCTGTTAGCACTACTAGGAAATGAGGAAGGCGGAGAGGATTAGAGAGAATGAGACATGACATTGAATTTATAGAGACCAGTAATTAATTTTGCCTCCATCTGAACTTCCTACTGTCTACCAATCTCTGTTCAGACCAGCAGCCCCCTTCTAAAGTTCCACCCCCCCTCACTTGCAACACAACTCCACTGAAAATGACGAGATTGGAGATTAAATTCAAAGTATCAACCTTTGTTCTAACACTGTTATTATATGACAGGCAAGGTACCCGCTCAATATTAATTGCATCTTGTCACAATGGAGCAACATGCACTGGTTATAACTGAGGCCCACAAACGTTTTGCCTGGGGGAACAAAAGACATTTAAAAGCACTTCTCCGTTTGATTAGATTTAGCCTACAATACAACTGCCCTCCCTTTTATTCCCTCAAACGCCATGCCCTTAAAGAGAGCAACCAGAGAGAGAACAGAACAAAAAAGAAAATAAAAAACCTGATTTGCTTCAAACAAAATGTCTTTACATCTCCTTTCCTATTTAATCATTTAATTGTAGCACATTTTGCCCCACCTCAGCTTGAAGATGGGGCTGAGAATGCATTACGACACTGCAAGATCAAGCACAAGCATAAAAGCATGAATGTGAGCAGCTCGTGGAAAATGACAGAATCAATGTGCTGAAGAGCCTTATAAGATAGTTCTAGTTTCATTAATCCCCCACTGCTTTCAAATTACATCATGCAAGTGCATGCATATATATGCACGGAATAAATTCAGCCTTTGCATAATCTGGCAAGTCATTTAAGTCAGTGTTGCTCGTAAAACTGAGGGTTCAATTGAATTCACTTTACAGTGGATGAATACTAATTAAACATAATGGTAACAGCGATACTGTGGAGGCACAAGATAAACTGAAACTGACACTATTACGTGAAAGCCTCAATAGCATAAGGCAGCATACAGTAACGGTTAAAGTGACAGCTATTATGCCAACAGGTTGACTTTTAATGTGATGGAAGAGCAGGAATTTATCCCTACACATTTCTTTAATTCACGCTTAACAGGATCTTTTCTAAAAACACAGCAGCATCTGCTTAGAGCTGCTGCTATAGTGATTAGCAGAGCCTATAGCCCTTTGCCAGACAGTGACAAATTGAGCTAAAGACATGGAAAGCAACACTGTAAAGAAAGTGAGTACTCCATAGAATCCCTACAAAAAGAGCAAACTTTTCACGGAACACATGCCCTCCTGAAATGTGACAAATCTGTTTACAACTTTGTACAATTTTTTAACATGATTTCTACAAACCAAGATGCCTGATGATGTGTTTTGCCTGAAAATCAATCCGGTGTAAATTATTGAACCTTCCTGCATGTTTGCCTCCCATATTTAATGCAGCAATGTGCTGATACCACAGAAGAGCGGATAGATTGGGGAGGTTTGTTGTTGTTACCCGTGGGTAAATTCAGAGAGTGAAAAATGCATGTGCTTCTGCACATGTGTGTTTGAACACGAGAGAGGGAGGCTTCAAAATACTTAAAATGAGAGAGAGGATAAAAGCTTTTCTTCTTTCTCCAACATTTTAATATTTCATGACTGCTTGTTTGAAGTAGTTTTAAATATTCATGTTTTTATGCTTAGGAGGAAGAAGGGAAATGATGCAAAAAAATCTCCTTAATACACTGCACTGAGGAAGCAACACTCTCACACATATACATAAATAAGCTCAGGCACATCTCAGTGCCATCTTTCGCTCTAACAAGGCACTTACAATGAAACATTGACAATTTTCTTTCCAGTGACAGCTCTGTTGTTCACAATAAGGCTAACAATCAAAGCAGCACAACGAAAGTTGACAAGATTAAGATTGTGAGTATGGCACAATACCAGCTGTTGGAGGCTCTTTTCCTATTAGCAGATTAATGTCTGAGCATATGTCATGGCCCCCTTCTTAGGCTCCTCTTCAGTAAACTATAACCCCAGGGGAGTCCTTATCCCAAGGGGGCGTGTGTTTGCACTTGTTTACCATCTTAAAGGATAGAATTCAATATTTTTGACAAGATGTGCAGTTTAATAACATGGGAACAGAGGTATGATTTGGCTTATAGTGATAAAGAAAAAGGGATTTGTATACAAGGAAAATTACTCCTACAGACATGAAACACCTTCTTCAATTAAGCATGTTTTAAAGTACAGTAGTTAACCTTCTGGTCATAAGATTCACTTTATGATTCAAATATGTACTGCCAATTAAAGCAGTCAGAAAAATTTGTTCAGCCAATCTTCATCAGTTATTTTCAGCAAGAAATCTCATTTTCAAGCTACTTTGTCAATGCTTTGAATCAAGGCTTGAGCTACAAAAAAAAAACACTCAGATTTTCATTTCTATAAACAGGTAAAACAGCTGTGTGACAGATATCAAAAGCTGTAAAAGCTCAACAACACTGAGGTTTATCTAAACAAAAGGCACTAAAGCAAAAGGCTTCAAGGCTTGCTGTGCCCTGACCGGTGATCAGAAATAATAGAGATGCACTCAAATGTGGAAATCAATAGACGCCACATAAGATCCGTGAAGACAGCACCACACCCTTCAATGCTGTAGTATGTCTGAAATACACCTGCTCGAGAAGGTTTCTGATCACCCACAGGGCAACTGGTGCCAAAACACTGATTGTGAACAGAGGCCCCACTGACAATGAGAAAGAACCAAAATCAGTGCATCAAACAGAGACAGCAGGCAGTAAATACACAGCACACACACAACAATACAAACTGAGAAAAAAAATCTATCAATATCTCTGCCAGAAAACCACTCATCCATCTTCACAAACACTTATTACATGGAATCTGGGATTATATTAACACTAATAGCATCAGTAGAAAAATTGCTGCTTTTCTCCCCTCTGTTTCCCTGCTCTTTAAAGCAGGTGCCATCGCTTGGGCCTCCATTATAGCCCAGAAATGTCATGTGTCGGCCATGGTTTCAGACATGGACCTACGCCATTCCTTGCACATCTCTTGCTTCGGCACTTTCAAGGTGACACAGATGATTCACAGAGTACACAAAATGTCAGCTGCTTAATTTAATATCCAGGGATAACTGTCATCCGTGACAAATTGGCCAGGAAAATTGCTGAAAATACTGAAATGGAAAGATTGCTGTTTTGGGCCTACTGCCCTACAAGTTGACAGGATGAAAGCCACAAAAGACCCACATTGAAAAAAAACAAAAACAACATTATCCGCCTAATTAAACCTACCTAAAAGCTCAATTTTGAACCATCTCCATACGACCTCCTGTCGGTGCAGATGTCTATCCCTCATGACTAAAAAGGTCTAAGGTCTAACCTTACAAGGGGCTGGGGGGGGGGGGCATTACATTCAATGCCTTAGGTCAAACATAAACCTCTGGCCTCAGGGTCACATGGACAAAATCATGATACAGCTGCTTGTCTATTACCATCTCCCCAATCTAATAAGACTGAATCTTTAACCAGCAAACAGCCCCGACCTGCATCGATCCATCTGTGTGTTGTAAGACGTTTCCTCACAGAATTATTTTGTTTTTAACCAACCATCTAAGGAATCCAGGAAAAAAAAAAAAGCTTTATCTGTTTTTCCTTCAGCATGCTAACCAAAATGGTTTGTGTTTACAAGATAACTCTCCAGTCATTTCCTTTTTGGACACAGAAACTGTAACACAGGGCATGTTACCAGCTGTGCATGTCAAGTTGAGTCACCGTTCAATCTGCATGTAGGTAGACACAGTAAAATAT